TTCGGCGCTCTTACCATGAATCCGTAGTAGATATAGATGTTGGTCGCGGGGGGCGGGGAACACGTATTTAGTTTTGCGGTTCGGTGTTGTGCTAAAGATATCGTTCTGCTAAATCCGCCTCCGCGAATTATCTATGTTCGTCTCGATGCTAACGATGACGCAGGGGGTGTTCTTAATTGCTTCTTGCGGCTCTACATATGTATATAATCATAGAGGACTTCCTGGGAGACACCCGCGCTGCCTTCGAGGTCTCCGTGGCTGTCCTGGCGGCCTCGTAGGGCTCTCGTGGGCGACCTTGAAGTAACCCATGGGACCGCAAGGGGACAAACAGGTGGAACCCCTTCGGGTTCGACTCCGTGTTCGCCACCCCCCCACCCTCACCAGATTCAAAAGTTGGGTCGGCCCTCGCGGAGGCCCTCGGGGTTCCATTTTCTTTGTCCTCTCACGCCTGTGCTGCCGAATGCCTGGGACCAACTTTGATTTGAATCTGGGAGGAGGGTGCGGAGTCAAGGGTTCCACCCTAGACCCCCCCCCAGATGAGCCCGTACCTCTTCTCCCCCTGGAATCTGCGATTTGAGGTTTCGTGCGGGGGGTGGGGGGGGCGATAGGTCTCACACGCATGGTGACCTCAACGTCAGCGGATTTGTGTCTGGCCCCGAATCTGCTCTGTTTCCCCGTGAGTTCTCTTCTAGGCGGGCTGCATGCTCCATGCTCACTCGGCGGAAGTGCGGGCACGCAATGTCGCGTGGCAATCTTCGCTTTCAGCGCAATCCCGTACAAGGACAGAAGAAAAAATCGCCAACGGTGTACATGGGGCCCGGCTGCAAGTAGGACATGGGGTATCTATCGGTTTAGCGTGGTGCCTGACATGTTCAGGAGGGTCAGGTTGGGCGGTTCGAATGTTCAGATTTCAGAGATAGGTATTTGTTGCCCATCTCCGTTCTCAGTCCACTGCTTCTATCCTCGTTGGCTCTCCCCCGTCCTTGTACTCCTCCCCGCTTCTTCCCCCCACCTCCCGCCCCTCTCCCACTTGTTCCCTTCCCATTATTATTCGTTCCCTCTTCTCCCTTCCCTCCCTCTTTATTTAATCGCTTCGCTCATTCCGCGGGCCCATATTGTCGCACCGTTGTGGGCTAGCTGAGTTTTGGGGCCTCTTGGGGGCTGTTTTGGGGCCTCTTGGGGCCTCTTTTGGGCCTCTTGGGCGCCTCTTGGGGCGTCTTGGGGGCCTCTTGGGGGCCTCTTGGGGCCTTTTTGGCGCCTCCTGGGCGCCTTCTGGGGCGGAGGGCTCGATTTTTCAGTTCTCGGTTCCCCTCTTGAGCCCCTCTTGGGCCCGTCTTGGGGCCTCTTGGTCCGTCTTGGGCGGCACTTGGGCCGTCTTGGGGGCCCTCCTGGGCCGTTCCGGGGCCGTCTTGGGAGCCTCGTGGGCCGTCTTGGAGCGGTCTTGGGGGCCTCTTGGGCCGTCTTGGAGCGTCCGGAAGCCGAAAAAGCCAGAACGCAAAAAACATCGAAAAAAACAATGAAAATCAACGATTTTGGCCTCTTGGGGCCCTCTTCGGAGGCCTCTTGGAAGGCCCTTGGGGCGTCTTGGAGGCCTCTTGGGCTGTCTTGGGGCCCTGTTGGGCGTCTTCGGGCGATCTTTGGCCGTCTCGGGGCCCTCTTGGACCGTCTTGGAGGCTTCTTGGGGACCTCTTGGCCCGTCCTGGGGCCCTGTAACAGAACTCCGGCATCTCTGACCCGACCTTGCCGGGGTACTTTTCGTCCGGGGACCCCCAGGGGCCGCCCCGCGCGCGCGAACTAGAAATACTGTTAACCAGGTACCGGAGATCTTAGCACGCCCTGGCCCGTTGGGCCGGCGAATTCCTTCATCCTCCTCCCAAGGACCACGCTCCATTCGATTCCTTTCGTCTTCCATGCCCATGATGCATCTTATTGAACATTGTTTTCTGCTCCTGTTTGTCATATGATCCTAAACCCTCCTCGCATCCACTTGTTCTTGCTCCTACATGGTCAGATCCTCTTTGCTTCTGTCCTTTTCTCTCTCCTTCAATAACATATACACTAGATATACACACAACAGATGCCCCCTTTGGAACCCCGCACTCCTCGCAACGCTCTGGGGCAAATCCCCAGTACTACCCTCCTTGGCGTCCAAGAGAGCCCCCGGAGAGTCTCAAGACGGCCCAGGACGCCCCCCAGACAGCCCAAGAGTGTTTCAAAGCTGTCCAAGACGGCCCCCCGACGGCTTTGGAATCCCCCAAGAGCACCTAAGATCGCCCCAAGAGGCTTCCACGAGTCCCCCAAGAGCTCCCAGGAAGCCCTCGAGAGGGCAAAATCAACAGGAAAAACCGAAGGATAATCTATGATTTCTGTGTTCTCGCATTTCCGCCTGCGTTACGCTTCCGAGGCTTGCGCATGCCCCCCAAGAGAGCTCCACGATGCTCCCAGCCCCGAGCGGCGCGAAGGGGTCCCAAGAGGCCACAAATGGTTCCCATGATGCCCGAAGAGGCACCACCGAGGCCCCAAAGTGACTCCGAAGAGGCCCAAACGAGCCCCCTGGACCCGCACCAGAGGTGTTCAGCGCCGAAGAGGGCCCCGAGAGGCCTTCAAGAGCTCCATAGAGACCCAAGAGAGGCCCCAAAAGAAGCTCCAGAAGACGCTCCCAACATGCTCCAGGAAGGCTTCCAAAGCACCCCGAAGATGCCACCCGGAGACTGCGCCGAGGCATCTCAGATGGCAGCAAACACAGAGAAGGCAGCTCCCTCCTCGTCCCTCCCTGCTCCCAGATCCCGCTCTCCTCCTCCCTCTTCCCCGCTGCGTCCTTTCCCCCTCCCGAATCCTCATCTCTCCTTCACTCCTTCCTCCCTCCGCCTCCCTCACCCAGCATCCTGTCCCACTAAGTGGTAGGAGGCCCAGCTTGAAAAAATGCATTTCCTCAAGTCCGTGTTTTCAAGGTCGGCCCACCCTTCCCTTCTGTCTCAGGCTTTGGCGTCCCCCAGAGTGCGTTTCCGTTTTTTCCACTTTGATCTCCCGTGCTTTTGTTCTTGGTTCTTTTCAGTCTCCCGTTCCACATTTTTCTTCTTCTCCTCATTCCTCCCCATTGCGTCATGTTCCATCCTCCCTTCTCCTCGTCTTGTCTTCACGTCTTCCTCTCTTCGCCTCCCTCATGCCTTTCTGCCTCCCCCATCCATCATCTTCATCTCTCCTTCACACCTTCATCCCTCCACCTCCCATACCCAGCATGCTACCCCACTAAGTCTGTGGAAGGCGACCCATGGAGAGGAGGCATGTTGCCAAGTAGTTGCCAGATGTCTAAGCATGTTTACATCATAAGTTAGACATGTAAGAGCATGTTGAACATTTGCTTTAAACATTCGTTATTTGTTCAAAATCAATGACGGAACTTTTCGGGTGTCTATTGCCATAACATTTGCAATTATAAGTGGTAGGAGGCCCAGCTTGAAAACAGGGAAAGTCCTTGAAGCAATTGTTTTCACGGCCGATTCCCCTCTCTCCGTTTCCTCCTATGCCAGGCTTTGGCGTGCCACCGAGTATAGAATCGGCGTGCGGCGCGAGAGGCCCGTTTGGCAGAATTCCATGAACACGTTGAGAAATCCATGGTCTGCTTTAGTGTTCGCACGAGCGCGAACACGCGGTGTTTTGAACACTTCTGTTGCGAAACCATGTTATATATAAACATGTGTTTGGACTCGGTTTGGGAATTGCTACGAAACCGAAGGTTTTTTTAGATTTTGGCATGCGCGCGCGACGACGCGCGCGCGCACTTCGTCCCCATGTTTTTGCCAAGGATTCTCGCGACGCCATGCGCGCAAGGGCGTTCGAACTTTTTGGACATGCGCGCGCTAAGCCCGCTTGGTATCATTTTATGAACCTGTTGAAGAACTAATGGTTTGTTTCAAGAATTCGCAAGGGCGCGCGCAAGCTTGTTTTCAAGTTCCGTGTTGCGAGACCTTGTGTTTTTTTATATGTTTGTTCGGACACTCGGTTTTGAAATCCTTACGCAACCGAGGGTAATATAAGAGATTTCGGCACGCGAGCGCGACAACGCGCGGTTGTGTACTTCGTCCCGCTTTTTGCAAGGGATTATTGAAAATTTTTGATTGTTGATACACGAGTGCGCGCGCATTGCATTTTTTCCAGAGGATGACCGTCGGGGGATACCGGTTGGGCTGGCATGGTACGAGTTCATATTTAGGATGGACGATGAGGCAGAATCAGATGTAAATTGCAACGGATAACCCCAGGGGGGGGTAGAAGGAGAATATATGTGGTGCTAGCTATGTGGTGCAAGCTATGTGGGGCAATCTGCATGGGGCAACTTACGAGGCTCGCGCACAAAAATTGCGACCAACATGCAGCGGCGACGGGCGGCCACAAGCCATATAGCGGCATGCATACCCAGGCGACGGGCGGTGGCGACGGGCGGCGATGTGCGGCCACAAGCTGGCCAGACCCGCACACAGGCCCAGACGGCTGGTGGCGACGGGCGGCGATGGGCGGTGACGGGCGGCGACGGGGCGGCCACAAGCCGGCTTGGGCGACGCACCAGCCCCGTTCCTTGCAGGACGGGCAAGAGACCCCCTAAGTGTCTCTGGAAGCTTCCCTTTTGTGGCAGGACTTGACGTCCTTACTGCTCGAAGCATGGAGCGCTGCACTGTCGATGGTTCCGTTTCGTCGAAACGTGTCTAACCGGCTCGACGTTACCAAGGGCTCTCTCTCTCTCTCTCCCTCACTGCCACCATGAATCAATATATACGCGTCTCGCAGACACCCTGCAAGGCTGGACCCCGCGAGTGAAATGTGGGTGGCACCCAGCGCAGCGCAGCAAGGCCGTCCGACTCTGCACCGCTGCAAGGCCGCCCCCCCCCCCCCCACGGGCGCCCTCCAGCGAGCGCTCCTCGCCGCGGCCAGCAGGCCCACCCGGGCGACGGGGGGAGGCACAGACGGCGAGGGCGCGCGGGCGAGCGGGCCCGCGGCGCGAGGCCGGGCAGTTCGAGACCCTGGGCGACGGCGACGGCGAGGGCGGTGGACCCGCTCGCTCCATCGAGGGCTGGGCGACCGCGGCCCCCGCGTCGCGGCCGACGCCGCCGCTGCTGCGCCTTCTCCTCCCCCATCTGGCCTGGAGGTTGGCACCAACACAGGTACTCCAGATTTCGTAAGAAAGGGAGGGGGGTCTCATTTCGGGGGGGGTCTCTTCCAGGCTCTCTTGGAGGGCCTGCAGGGGGGTCTGGGGACGATGTTTTGGAGGTTTCTCCCACGTGGGGGGGTCTAAAACTTCTCGTGTTGAGACCCCCTCCCTTTTATTACGGAATCTGGAGCAAGTCTCGGTGGTTGCCGCCGCCGAGGGAAGATGACCCAGGCCTCGGCGATGGTGGTACTGCTCCTGCTTCTCAGGTGGCCAGGGGACCGCCACTGGCGACCTCCGCCTCGGGAGAACCGACATCAGGATAACCTTCGGAGGTCCGCGGGGATTCCTTGGATCGGCGCTGGGCCCCCCTGGCGTCGCCTCCGGCGCCGCTCCGCACGCCAGGGAGGGGGTTCCGGCGCTGATCCAAGGAGTCCGCGCGGAGGTCCGAAGGTTTATGAGTTGTGCAGTTCTTCCAGCCTTGCGGCAGAGACGACCATGACCAAGACAAGGTGTCACGGGATTTTGTCGACGCCGATCTTAGTTATGGTCCAGTCCATGCCAGCCGACGTCGATTCGCGAGGATGACCGAAGAATTGACGATAATCAAGATGGATGGTGACCAAGATCGACCCAACGTCTCCGCGTTCAGTCTCCGTCATGGGTCCCGTTTTCTTCTTCCTCGCCCTTGCCCTTTTCCCCATGTGCTACACCTCCGTGTCCCCCATCCCCATCCCTTTCCCCCTCGCCCTTTACAGTGACACAATATGACTGGTCATCTCCCATCTCCCCTGATGTCGTGCTGGTCAGCTGAATCGCATGTTGTTCCCAACCCTTGTGGTTGCGTTCTCGTTTTGAACAGAGCACTGTGGTCTCCACGCCTCCTTCCCGCCTCCCTTCTCTCGTAATTACGTGACCTCGCCATCCCTGGAGCGCTGCGAGCTGCGAAAGTGTCGCTTTCGGGTGTCGCCGGCCCTAAAATCGCCATCCCTGGGGGGGGGGCTGCTGCAAACTGCGTAGCTGCAGCCTCTTTGAGGGCTGCCGATGGGGTCCAGCGGAACGACGCCATGCCAGGGACTCACGCTAGCTCTCGCCATCCTCGTGGGGCGGGCGAGCTGGGCCTCGCTCGCACCCTGCATGCGCTATGAACAGCCCATCGTTCGGGGCGCCAGGGCGACAGCAGTGCTCATCAGCGAGCTCGTTGAGAACATCGTTGCCGTCCTTTCTCATCCCCCCTCCCCCGTTGTGGTCCTCTTCCTCCTGCACCGTCTCCCTGCAGCTGCAGCGTTGACGTTGAAGCCACCCCTTTCGTCCTTCTCCTGCCCCTCCGTCCCGCCCCCTTCCTCTTCTGAGCCCAGGGCCTCGCTCCGTGTCCTTCGATTGCTGCCCTGTGAGTCGTGCAAAGCGCGCGCACCCCATGCACTTTGCACAACAAAAGGCGGTTCTTGTAGCGCCATCACAAACAATGTGGGCCACCTACTCTGGTCACTTGAATCGAAGGGTCGGCACGTCGCAGGGTGATGTTTCATACGCTCTGGATTAGTTTGGATTGCTTCTGATGGGGTTGTGCATCCGACCACTGCTCTTGCCTTTGAAAGTGTGTCTCTCGCTGGCGCGTTCGCTTCTGTGCGTGAACACCAGAGCCTCCGTCCAACGGAACGACGTTATCGCCGCAGCGTTGGAAGTGATGGTTGTTCTCCTTCACGCAGTCGCAAGGTGTGTTGCCTTTGACAAGTGTTGCTCCCATTGGTTTGTTTGACGTATTTGATGTTCACCAGGGATTATCCGTCCAACGGAGCTTCGTTGTCGCTGCAGTTGCTCTTGATTTCTTGGGTGGAGGTCTTCTTTGTTCAGTTCGCCCTTCAGGGGTCAAGGTCTCTCCCGACTCTGCGAACCGAGAGGGAGTCCACGGAATGGAGTGGGATGGGGGAGGGGCAGGACGTCAGATATGAAGCAGGCGCACTTGGCCTGTCGTTGTCCCTCGCCCCTCCTCCGTCGCCCCTCCCCTCTTCACCCCTCGGCCATGGCACGAACCTGGGGAAATCGGCAGCAGGGCGGGTACAGTCGCCCCGTCTCCTCACGCTCCTCCTGGCGCGATCCTCCTCCTCGCCCCCCTCTTGCAGCCTTCTTGCTTCCTGCGTGACGCCCACAAGCGCTCGCCTGAGAGGCCTTTCGACGTCAGCCAGGAGTGTTCCAGTTTTGAGGAGTGAAAGACAGATAGAAGTTACAAATGGTGCCTCTCAAGGGGATTGGTCCACCTCCTGAGTGATCCTCGGGGGTGTTCACTATGGTCTTCCACGGTGTCTGCCCGACCCCTCCAGGGTGGACAAAACATCGGACTTAACCCCCGCACGGCGGAGTGTGCTTTGATGTATCATGCATGTGAGGGCGCGCAGCCCAGTGGAGAGCCAGCTTGGAGACATGACGATGCCTCGGGTGGGCGAAGGTTTCGGCTTGATTTCAGACGACTGCCGTACATCGTCGATCGCGTCGAACTATCACGCTCGATGCTGTGCCCTCTCGGTGTCTGAGCACGATATGGGGGGGGCGTGCCTCTCGTGAGTAGTCATACCTCTGGGGATGATTACAGGTGCGGCTTGCAGAGGACGACGTCAGCTCTGAGGGTAGTATGCTCGCGATGTTGTAGGCTTGGTCCGACTCTCAGTCCGAAATCGGCACCTTGATCTTGCAATTCGCATCTCCCCACTAGACCATCCATAAATGATGCCCAGGCAGGTTGCTCTGAACAGAGAAGGGGAAAGGTACCAGAGGCAAAGACAGATGGGGAGCAGCTGCCAAAACGAAGCTCGGGCTCAGACTGAGCAGGCTCAGGAGTCAACCATAACTGCCCAGACATCCGCCGATCTGATTTTTCAATCTGCGGCCCCGGAGATCCCGACCCCTTCCCCAGAGGTGGGTTTTCGTCCCGGATCCATGTTTGATGGTCCCCGAGCCCGATAACGAGCCCCAGAGGCCGAAATCCAGGAGAAACCGCCGGAATGGAAAAATCAGATCTTCGGATCTCTGAGTGCCTTCGAGGATCATTCGACTGTGGGAGCCTCCTTAGAAGCTTCTTCGGGCCAGGTAGGATGCAGGAGGCCCCCAAGATGGCCCCAAGAGGGCCTCCGCTTCTCGTGGCTGAGCGAAGGGGGAGGTCTTCTGGCGGGCGGATACAGTCGGACTGAGGTATAAGATCGAGGTCGGTTCGGGGAAGGTACCCTAGTGTTCTTCGTGTTTGTTGGGTGTTCTTGTGCATCCTCGGGAGGGTTTCCTAGGATGTTCTGTGTGTTTTGGCCGACGGAGGGTCTCATGTTCTTGGAGGATGCTCGTCTGGCCCAGGTCCGACTGTACCTTCAGTCCGCGCCATGCGAGTACGCTGGCGGGCCTGTCCCTCCCAAGGCAGCCCAAGGCGCGCCAGACGAGACGAGACGAGACGAGACGAGACAGGACGCGCCAAGACAGCCTCCAGGTCGACAGGATTGACCCCGAGGCCGAAATCCTCCACCAAAGGTCACTGTGAAGTCAATCATGCGTGCCTTCTTGCCTGGTGCTCAGGTACGTCCCCAGAGGCCCCAAGAGGGCTCCAGAAGAGCCTCTCAACATTCGCACTGTGGGCTCAGAGGCGGCCCGAGACGGCCCTCGAGGCTCCCAAGAAGGCCGCAAGTCGCGCCAAATCTCGAATAGGCCAATCATGGAACACCTAGCTGACACCAACTATTGTCCCAGAACCCCCCTGGAGGCCCCCAGGAGGCTCCCAGAGACCCTCACGAGGCCCCTAAGCAGCTCCTAGTCGGCCTCCGAAAGGTCCCGGTTCACAGGCAAGGGAGGAAGTGTTGCAGCGTAGGGCAGGGTGAGGGGTGAACCCTTCCCCCGAGAATAAGAAAGAATGGGTTGGAAGGACTACCAGTCTAATCCACATACGCCCGGAGGGCTGGTGGGCTGCCAATGCACGGCCCACAGCGCTTCTGGCACAGTTGGTGATCTCGAGATGCTAGCAGTTTCTTTAAGGCTGCGTCTGGCACAGTGTGGTCGTGATGCTTCTGTTATCTTGTAAGCTTTGTATTGATACTGTGTGGTTCCATCGCATCTGCCATACCCCAAAGTGTTTGTCACCCCAAAACATGCTGCCTGTTTGGTGACTTATGCTTCGAGTGAGAGCGCCAAGACGTTTTTGTCTTCCCTCAGCCAGCTCAGGTGATTATCGTATCTGGTGTCCACGAGGAGGCCCAGGAGGATCGCCAGCGTGCGCATTCTCCAATCACAATTCGTCGATGCAAGAAGTTGGATGGAGAAGATCTCTCAGTGCTTCGCATGCCTGGCATGATATGTAACCCTGGCTCAATTTCGGCGCGCGCGTGCGTACGATCATGCGTGTAGGGACAGGCTCGTGGCCGGCTTCCAGCGTGCGCGCTCGCTCGCTCGTACGCCCGCTCGCGTCGACGCCGCACGTACGCGATGTGGATGGGCACAATGTGTCATCAATGGCACGCTGACAGTCTGGACGTTTCGCGCCGCGATCAGGACTTGTGACCAGGGGGGCCGATGGCACTCGGCTGGAGCACCACTGGCTTGCACTTGCTCTGGAGGAGCAGCCAGACCAGTTTTCTGGGCGGCGCTCTGTGCGCGGGGAGGTTGTTCTGTTGGCGGATTCTTGCGACCTAGCTGTAAGGATCGCGCACCCGCGTGCGGTTCCAGAGTTGCAGGCAGTCTCATATGGGTGTTGAAATCAGCTCCGTTAGACCAATGACCACGGGCACGGCTTTGTATCGAGAGCGAGGGTCAGGAAGGCCGAAGCATGCCTCCCAGGTAGGTTTTCCGCGGAGCCGCCAGGGAGGCGAGCGCGAGCAGCAGCAGCAGCAGCAGGTCTTCTGCTTTTAGATTTCGATTGAGGGCGGCCCGTTTTCAAAATGTGGTTGTCGCCTTAGCGTTGCGCCCGTTTTTTATCATAGGAAATGCACTCGTTTCACGGATTGAGGGCGGGCCGTTTCCAAAATGTGGTTCCCGTCTTATCGCCGCGCACACTTGTTAAACATATGTGCAAGCGCTTCGCGGATTGAGGGCGGTTCTTTTTCAATACGTGGTTCTCGTTTAAGCGCCGCGCACATGCGTTTTTGGTGCAATCCAGCAGTTCACGGGTTCCCATGATCAACGTACCAGAAATGGTGTTTGAGAAGGATCCAGGATTTTGATGGTGCAACAGTTACGTTGGTTCGCGGTGTTGAATTCCCAGGGATGGCGTTCTGGCGCGATTCAGCGCCAAGACGCAACAGTCAGGTTGATCGTTGGCGCTGGAATCCCGAGAACCATATATTGGCATGTTTCAGGGTCGTCAAAAGGTTGTTTTCCAACGAGGCAGTTCCCCCAGTGGAAATGAGCCGCTGCAGGGGCCTATGAAGAGGGAGCTTGGAGGGAGGGTGTATTTCAACATCGTTGATGATTCTTGGGTTTCTCTGGTCCTCCTCCTCCTCCTCCTCCTCCTCCTCCTCCTCCTGCGCTACCACCTGAGGCGCACGCGAAGTTCACTTCGACACCTGTTCAAAACAGGAGACCTTGGCGAAGCGACTGCCCCCTGACCCCAGGAAGTCTTCGCCCTCGTTGGGGCCGCCGCTCTTGGACACGCTCGCTTGTCTATCAGGTATTCCAAGGCGGCTTGAAATCTAATCCGACAAGTCTGATGCTCGTCTGACAATCTGAGCCTCCTCCTCCTCCTGCTCCTCCTCCTCCCTTTTCCTCCTCCTCCTGCTCCTCCGCCTCCTGGTCCTCCTCCTCCTCCTCCTCCTCCTCCTCCTCCTCCTCCTCCTCCTTCCCCTCCTACTCCTCCTTGCAGGCAGCGTCTTCCCCCCCCCCCCCCCCCCCACACACACACACACGCACACACACACACACACCGCTTGCACAGCGAAAGCGGGGATTCTGATTCCGTATTTCCTTCATGGATGATTTTCTCTCGTCAGCATCGTCGCCCGTGGAGTCAGTGCACCCGCTGCAAGGCACACGAGTACAATGACATCTTAGATAAGCAGAACAATCGGCGCAGCTGCTGTTCGCATCAGGTCCGTTTCTCCCACCAACAGCCTCGTTCGCGCGAGCCCGAGGATGTGCCCAAGAGTGCGCACTATGAGGAGGGGAGCTCGTCGCGTCCATTTTTACGCTCCCGCCGCGGCTCCAGCACGCCCGACGCGACGTCAGACCTTATCCAGCAGGCCATCGACAGCACCACGAACGCTGAGCTCAATAATATTTTGTAGTCACAGAGGGAACAACTCCTTTCCGCCAAGGAGAAGGACAAGAGCTCAGCAGTGGACAACGTCAAGAAGGCAGACGGCAAGTGGCAGGCCGCACAGAACAGACACAACCAGCTCGTCGAGCAGGTGATCCGCTTGAGGAAGCAGCTGGCGTTCGCAGAGGAGAAAAAAGGAGGCCTCATTCGAGTTAGCTCGCGCCGACGCCGAAAACGCCAGGCCACCGCTCTTCTCGCACAGAGAGGGCATCAGTGCAGCCGACCCCAGGCAGTCCGAGACGCATGACAAGGGCTCCATTATCGGGGCCTTCGTAAACGCAGGTTTTCCCGGATTTCGAGACATGGGGTTGCGTGGATTGCGACGAGCAGTCCATCATATTCCTCCCTCATGGCAGAGCTCGAGCAGCACGCGCAGATGTTCGACGCTCGCGACTCGCAGTGGCAGCAGTTTGTTGACAAATGCCAGAAGATGAACCAGGAGGTCCACGAGCGCATCAAGAAGAAGCGGAAGGGGCCCGAGGGCGCGCCAATTGACGCACCCACCGCCAAGAAAGAGGCCGCCAGCGCAGCAACTTCCACGCAGGCCGCCGCCGCCGAGGACTAGGTCAAGCAGGAGGAGGCCTTCCGCGCCGGGGCAGCCAAGCTGTCGCAGGCCAAGTTCCAGGCTGCCGAGGCCACTCATAAGGCCAGCGGCAAGGGCGGCGTGCCCGTCAGTGGCAAGGGGCGCGAAGCAGCGGCCTCAGCCGCGGGCGCTGCAGCCGCCAGCAGAGCCAAGAGCACCAAGGAATGACTATCTGTGGGACAGCAGTCACCGCAATGGCAGCCAGCAACACTTGGTGGCCCCAGTATATCATGCACTTCAACTTCGGGGCCCACAGACGCCAGCGAGGGCACTGGCATCTCTTCACTTCCACCTTCTAGTTTCATGTTCTTCCCGAGCATCGCGCCCGTGGGTGACGAGGCGCGGGGGCGCGACGCATCGCTCAATAATGCTTTCGACTACAGATCACTCTGCGAGACTCGCGCCCCGCAGAGCTCCATATCCAAGTGGGGGGCCGAGGCGCGCGAGTACGAGCTGGAGCTTTTTGCCGGCGCCGCTCGGCCCAATGCCCGTTTCACATCAGTTTCGAACGGCGGCAGAGCCAACGAGGGCGGTTAATTCTTCCTGGCAGCGCGTCGCAAGGCTGCCCAGGTGCTTGATTGCGCGCGCAGCCACGGGATTCATAGCCGAACGAAGCACCAGTTTCGATGGCTTCGTCCCTGTGCAGATTGAGCGAAAAGCCGATTCCCTCATGGTTATCGCGGTCTACAGTCGCTTGCGCATCGGTTTCCGCGATCAGAAGGTCGCGGGGTTTCGCGAGCTTGCCGCTCTTTTCCGCTCTTTTCGCCCCCCTTGTATTGCGTCGGCGGGTTGGGGCCTCAGCCCCGCAGCCCTCCCCCGAACAGGTTTCCTCGAGCTGAGTTCGCGCGCGCCCCTGGCGGGGGTCAACAAACCTCACGTCTTGATTATGTGTTGATCGTGGGCGCTTCCGCGCGGTCTTATGCGCGCCAGGTCTCAGCTTTGCGCGGTGCACCCTGGAAAGGCCCATGCCGGTCTATCTGCGGAGCCGGAGTCCTCGAATTGCCCCCAGGCCCCCCCCCAAAGTGGCCCGATCTGGCAGCGCAGCGATTGAGGGCTCTAATGCAAGCGCGCAAGCAAGCAAGAGCTGGCCCGGACTGGGCAGCTCGGACGCGAGAAAAGGAACGCGCGCATCATGCATTGGTTCGGTCGGCCCGACGAGGCCGACGCCGATCGGCCCCCAGTCTCTCAGAGCGAGGGCGGGGTAGGCAGGGGGCGCTGCAGCAAGCTCCACTACCCCGTGGAGGTCGATGGCGAATTCGACCCGCGGGCGAACGGGGCCAATTTCAGCGCCGCCGCCCCCGCCGCCCCTCTGCGCGAGGGGGGGGATGTTTCAGTTTCAGTCGATCAGTCGAACCAGCGCGTCATTCCCAATGGCGTCAGTGAGCCCCTAAGAGATCGCGCGCCGCCAGGCGAGGAGTTGGCCCAGGAGCCCCAGTGCCACCATATGAAGCCCCCAGAGACCCCGACGCCTCAGGCTCAGGCAGTGTCTGACGAAACCTTGAATTAAGCCAGACCAACAGCCCGGTTCTCTCCGAACTCGTTGGGCCCTCCTGCTCCGGCTCTTGCCGCCCCCGTTGGATCTTGACTCGGGCCCCCCCCGCCATTATTCGCGCGCATCGGCTCCATATATTGTAGTTGGGTTCGGACAGTGGAGCGAACCATCCATGCTCGCGGCGGGCAGCCCACGCCCGAACTCAGCCGAGGTCACGCGGCCATTTTCACATCTCAGTCCGAGAGGCCCAGCAAGCCAAGCCAGCGCGGAGCTCCACACTTCGCGATCGAGCAGCGGGGTGGCGGACGCAGGTCGCTACCATCAGAGAAGGCTTTCATCGGCACCGCCAGCGGCGAAACGGTGCCAAGCAGCAGGAGTGGCCGGCTGCAGCCGCCCGCGCCCTCGCTCGGAAGATCCCCGAAGAAGCACCGTGCGTCCTTCGACGGAAGGGCCCTTTCCAGGTGGGCGAGGTCGCGCAGCAGTTGGGAAATTTGCATCGCTTGGCCCCAGGCGAGCGCCCGCAGCTGGCAGGTGCGACCTGCGCCCTCGCCAGGAGCCAGCATAGAACATTTCAAATGTCTATCAGCGAGTTCCGAGAGTTGGCGGAGACAGCCCCCGCCGTCGGCGTCCTTCGCAAAGCGCTCAAGGAGCAGGCGATTCCTGGAGACACGCTGGAGGTCGGCACGCGTGCGCTGATCCATCCCGAGGACATCCTCGACGAAAAGAGTTCCACATGGGGAGCCGCGTGGACGTCAGGCCCGAGCGACTTCTCTAAGCTGCATGGTATGTCTCAGGAGACTCGCGCACGCGTCTGTTCATTCGATCAGATGCGACGGGCGGCGAGAGGCATCACGCCGACTGCAGCGCAGGGAGTTGGTCGAGTCAGCATCGCCGACTACGATCGCCTCCCAGGCAGTACCCTCGCCAAAACTTGCAAGTATTAAATTTCTACGCGAAGAGCGGCAGGTGCGGCCATGCGAAGTGACGTTGGCTCTGGGCACCCTTCTCCCCAGGAAGGTTTCAGGAGAGCCATCAGGGCCATCGCCGCACCTCGGACGGCTGCGGCCCAGGGCCCGCGAGTGTCACGGCAGGTCTTGGACGGACCAGCGCGAGACGCACTGGGGCGCGGCCGTCCGAGGCAACGCAGCACTCAGAGAGGTATTCCCGGATAGCTCCTCCGGAGAGCTAGAAGGCTTGTTAGAAGCGTGGTCCTATTCGTTTCCAATGCGGGTGCCCCGAAGTTCTCGAGAAGGTCTTCTGAAGGTCCTTCAAGGCTCTTTGGAAGCTTGCTTTTGCGCTGCCGACTCGATTCCAACTCCATGCCGGTGCGCCGTTGCGGCCCGATCCGAGGCACGTTCCGATCCGATCAGATTTACCGATTCGATGCAGACTGGTCTTGTCCTCCCTCACCGAGCTCAACCTGATTCCCATCCTCCGCCAGTCGAGTAGGGGATCGACTACATAATCGACTTGCCCAAAATTGGAATCCCCGTCGAATCTACGAAACAAGCACGTGGAATGAATGTAGATCTACGAGCATTCGACGTCATTGGTCCGACGATTCGACGAACAGATCAATTTGGGGGGTCAGCAATTCTGCAGTCGATCTCCTACTCGAGCCCTCCGCCCTCCGCCCCTCCCCTCCGCTCCCCTCCCCTCCGTGCTCACCCCTCGTGCTCACCCTCCTCGTGCTCACCCTGTCCTCCCTTCTCGTGCTCACCCTCCTCCCCGTCCTCCGCCCTCCGCCCCCGCCCGCGCCCCTCCCCCCCGCTCCCCGCGCCGACCCCTTCCTCCGCGACGTGTGGCGCTGGGAGAGACGGCCTGGCTGCGGCCAGCGCGGCCTGCCAGAGGACGACGTCTTCGAGGCGTTTGCCGAGCACGGGGACATCAAGTGGCCCGGCTTGGCCCCAAAAGGGGTTGTTGGCCAGGGGAAGGCGGCGAGCGAGGGGGGGGAGTGAGAACGAGAAGGCCTTCTCGGAAGGCGGCGGGACTTCTCAGGAGGCCTCTGGCCTCCCGAGAAGTGTTTTCAGTGTTCGGGGAAGGCTCGGACAACCTCTCGGATGTCATGGGAACGCCAAGAAGGCCTTCTCCTTCTCACTTCCCCCCAGGGCGCGCCGCCTACAGGGGAAGGCGAAGGGGCAAGGGGAGGCCGGGGAGGCAGAGGGTATGAAAGACCAGGACGAGGAGAATGAGGATCAGAACGCGGATTTGTGTCAGCAGTCTGTTTGGGAGGGGGACTGGGGTTCGGATCAGGGCCAGAATCCGGATTTGGGGTTACTTACGTTGGTCAATGTCAGACTTGGGCTCTTTGTCTGGGCTAGTGTTGGGGCCAGTTTTCGGTTGAGGTAGAGATTCCTCCTCCTCACTCGTTCCTCCTCCACCCTGTCCTGCTTCTTCTCCTTCCTCCTTCCCTCCTCCCCTTCCTCCTCGTCCTCCCCCCTTCGTCCTTCCTCGTCATCCTCCCTTCTCACCTCATCATTCCTCCCCTTCAGAGCGAGGGCGACAGGGAGAATAAGTATGCAGGGATGGAGGAGAGGGAGAGAAGGAACAGAAGAGGGAGAGGAAGTGAGGGCGGGCGATCGCAGCGCCCTTTTGAGAGACCGTCACTGTCAATGCATGATTGCGAGCGGCCGTAGGCCCCAAAGAGCTACCCGAGGAAGTTACCAGCTAGCCCAATCCTTCCCACCTCCAGCTCGTTCTCCAGATGTCGCAGATAATTGACCCGCAGAGCGGGAGTCACGGCGGGACCTCGGGGGAAATTCGCACGCAGATTTTTCAATCAGCGGGTGTTCGGGGTATGATCCTTGGCCTTTGGGCTCGAGCCGTCTCGGTTCGGGCCCGCCCTTGCCAAAGGTGCGCGCTCCCGCAGTTGCATCCTGGAAACCGTGGCGGCGCGCCGGCGGCGGCAGTGTGCGGCTGCCTCTGCCTGCGCTGCTGGCGCTGCCGGCGCGTCGTTGGCGCCTTGGGCGCCAACGTGCGCCGCGTGCGCCGCGGACGCCGCGGGTGCCGCTGGCACCACCAGCACCGCGTGCGCCGCCGGCGCTGCCGGCGCCGTTGGCGCTGACGGCTCCGCGGGAGCCGCGCGGGCACCGCGTGCTTTGCGGGCGCCGCGGGCGCTGCGGGCCCCGCAGGCGCCGCGTGGGCCGGCGGCGCTGCGGGCGCCGCGGGCGCCGCCGCCGGCGCTGGCGCGGTGGGTGCCGCGTGCGCCGCGTGCGCCGCGGACGCCTCGTGCGCTGCCAGCGCGGTGGGCGCCGCGGGCGCCGCGGGCGTCGCGGGCGTCGCTGGCGCCGCCAGCGCTGCTGGCGCCGCGCGCACCGCCGGCGCTGCCGGCGTTGCGGTCGCAGCCGACGCCGTGAGCGCCGCGGGGGCGGCTTGCGCTACCCGGCTTGGAACGCGACTCAATCAGGCACAGTGTGGCAATGGTCAAGCAGCGGCGAAGCGTCCTGGCTCGCCTATAGCCCCACCAAACAATGTTGTGAGAACCTTTTTGTGGTTTCCACGAAATGTTCTTAGACAAATTCTGGCGGAGTCTGTCTTGTTTTATCACATCGTGTTTATGTTCTACGACCATTTTTTTTGTTCTTAGAGCATTTTTGGGTTCCAAGAACATTTCGTGGTGTGACTATAGGAATGCCAGGACGGTCGGTCCCTGCTAAAAATGGGTGAGGGAGGTGCTGGAAGGGGGGGCCCAACGCGATCAGCTACAGCTTGAGGCCTGCGAGTGCGAGAATGGCAAGCAGTGGCAGCGGGCCATGCCGCTGCTCACGGAAACGCCTGCGCCAGCACCCTCGCCAGCACAGCTCGGAGCGCCGACGCCAGTATCCTCGCAAGCGCAGCCAGCAGCACTGATGACAGCTTGCTCGCCAGCACAGCCGGGACTTCCGCCGTCAGCATCCTCGTCAACACAGCTTGGATCGCCGACACCAGCATCCTCGCCAGCACAGCCGAGAGCACCGACGCCAGCAGCCTCGTGAGCACGGCCTGGATCACTGGCGCCTGCGTCCTCAATTGCGCCGCGGGAAGCACCGACGTCAGCATCCTCGCCAGCACAGCGGGGAGCACCAGCGTCAGCACCCTCGCCAGCTCAAGCGAGACCGACGCCGACATACTCGGCAGCACAGCCTGGATCGCCGACAGCCGGGACCTCCGTCGTCAGCATCATCGCCCGCACATTTGAGAGCACCGACGTCAGCATCCTCGCCAACTCAGCCAGGTGCACCGACACCAGCATCGTCGCCAGCGCAGCCAGGACCAGCGGCAGCATCCTCGACAGCACAAGCGGGAACACCGACGCCAGCATCCTCGCCAGCACAGCTGGCAGCACCGACGTCAGCATCCTCGCCAGAACCCACGCCCGCGCCGCCCCGTGCTCTAACAGCACGCCCGGCGCCCCTAGCCCCAACTGCACCCGCGCCGCCATTTTCGCCGCCCGCCCCATCGCCCTGGTCGAGGTGTTTCCGGCAGTCCTTCCCGCAGCCCTGACGCGCAGACGCGGAGCCCATCGCTCCTCGCGCCCCGCGGCACTCCTGTGGAAGGGGACTTCGAGCGGGAGACCGAACAGGACGCAGACGGCGACCAGGGTTAAGCCGGGCTTGTCCCTCTACAGGAGGAATATTCAAAGGTAGTGAAAAAATAGTTTGGGGATGTTTTTTTGATTATTTGTTGATCATTTGGGGGGTATGTTTTGAATATTTTTATTGTTCGTCCAAAATCCCCCTGTAGGGGGACATGCCCGACCTAACGCAACGGCCCCGAGACCCTTGCCGCCCAGGCCGGCGCGTCCTGGCGCCTCGACGGTCGGCCAGCTGTCTGGCCGCAGCCTCCGGGCTGCCCCAGCGCTGCGCGGCCTAGCCTTACGTCGGGCCTGCCCCTCTACAGGGGGAGTAGTCAAACATAGTCAAAAAATAGTCTGGGGACGATTGTTTGATTATTGTTGCCCATTGTGGGGGGGGGGTATTTTTTGCGTGTTTTTTTATTTTTCGCCCGAGATCCCCCTGTAGGGGAACAGGCCCGACCTAAGCCTAGCCTTGCGCTGTTGCTCCCGCTGGGGTCCTCTGGCTTAGTCGCCGTTCCCACCCGGAGTCGATTTCCTGGTCGTGTTCTTTTGTCAACGGCCTCCTTCCGCGCGGTTTCCGTGCCCTCTTGGCGCCTGTGTTTGCTCGCCTGATCGGTTGGTCTTTGGATGTTCGCTCCCTGGGCGCTCGTTCACTTGGCTTGGATTTGGCTTCGTGGCCCTAGTGCCTGTTTCACAGCAACACCTTCTGCTGTCCCTGGTCGTCGATGCTCGTCGCCACGGTGGTTCTGACCTTTCGCCCCGCGCTTTGGTCTTCACCTAGTCTCCTCGTCATCACGTGCGGGGGGTTCACCTGGTCTGGTTGCTTCAACCTTCCCCTGGGCGTCCTTGGCTCTGGCTCTACCTTCTGGCCTCGTGGATTACCTCTCCGCGCACGCCCTGTACTTCGCCGTGCTCTCCTGGCACCCGCTTCTGGATTTCACGTTCTGTGTGCGGTCTCCGTTCCACGCGCGCCCTCCTCCTTCCTGTCCTCTTTCCTTGCGCCCCAATTCGCCTCTGGAACGCCCCTCCCGTTGCTCGACCGACGCATGCCGCATGCGTGCTCGCGTCCGCGGACTTGAAAAGTGTTCGGGGGTATGGCTTCGACAAGGGTCGGGCCCACTCGTTGTTGAGTTTCCAATGTGTTCCTCTTTTTAGGAGACTGGATGCCCTGGTCGCTAGTATTCTTACGCACCCCAGGAGCCGAAAAGCGCGCATCGTTTGCACCTTTACGTGTCAGAGGGCAGTTCGGTGCGGATTCCTTGCGGTTTCGACGCCGATGCCGTCACGACACGTTCCCCGAGGTCCCTGAGTTGTTGGGGTCTTGTGGCCGATCGAGGGGCGTCTCGCGGCAGCCTTGTTGTGCCCAGTGCCGTCTTGGAGCGGTCTTGTCGTCGGGGCGCCTCGACGCCAGCCTCCTCTTTCCTCCCAGGGATGAGCGAACGATACCTGGCGGGGGGCTCCCTGGGGCCGCCTTCCTTTCGGGACAGTTGCGACGGGGACGGAGCGAGTGGGGACGAGGGCCAGCGGCCCTCCCTGCCCTTCCTGAGCCCGCGGTGCCCTGCGGACTTCGGGAGCATCATCAAGGGGGTTGCACGGCCCCAGCGCGCGGCCTTCGTGCGCCGGTCCTCCGGGTCCGTCAGCTGCGCGTCCGTCCGCCCGTGCGTGCCATGCTTCAGTCGGGGGTGGACAGAACCCCCAACAGTGACACGTCGATTAGTGAATTGTCCGTTTTCGGTTTTTGAGAGGGCGCCGTGGCCGTTATTTTCCAGGGTTGAGCCCGCCAGGTTTGGGCCCGAAGTCGTTTTCACTAAACCACGTTTTGGGAGGTTTGTCCATCCCCGATTCAGAGCGTGAGCTGCCTGCCCTGCTTTCGCTTCCAGGCAAATCTCAGTCATACCACGCGCCTCCTCGTCAAGCGGCCTGACCAGTGCGGGCTTCAGTTTGGTATGGTTTGGTACCTCCTGGGGGCGAGGGTGGTCAACAGCGAGGTGGGTTCATCTGCCTTCTACGTAGTACTCCGCCTCTGCCCTGCCCGCCCCTCGCCCCAGGCGGAGCTCTGCCGCTCCCACCCCCGGTGGAGCAGGGGGGCCCGCCGATCGCTGCCCCCCGGGACCCATGGTCGCCGACCGCCCCCTCGCGGGTCTTCGATTGGCACCTTCAGGGGCGATGTGAAAGTCGGGCATGTCCCTCTGCAGGGGGAATGTTCAAGAGTAGTGGACAAAATGGAATGGTGACGATTCATCGTGCTATGTTTGACTATGTGTTGCTTATGTTCTGACTTCAAACAAAATCTGCCTGTATGGGGGACATGCCCGACCTAAGGCAATGTTCGGAGGGGACAGGCTGAGTTACTTACACTGTGAATGCCTTGCTATCCCGTTGCGTGGCTGTGTTCTCGTTCGCTCGAGCATTTGACACGCGTGCGGAGCTACGCTGTCAACGCCACGCTTTCCTGAGGCTTGGCTGTGTTCTTGCTCTGAACGCACACCGCTTGAGGCGGCGGAGAGCTTGAGAGATCCATCCAACAAATTGGGAACGCGTCGCGCTCGTAAAAAGGCATACCCTCTGCGCCCCTCCCTCCCATGTGCCCGAGGCCCCTTGCGAAGGATCCTTGCGAAGGATCCCTGCGCAAGCCCTCCGCACCCATGCGCAGTCCTGCGCATTCCTTGCGCGCCCCAGCACACTCCTGCAGACTCTATGACTTGCAGCCCAATCGCCCATTGATCGTCGACATGGGCCTTACAGCTCATCCCCGCCCATGAGCGTGCGGCTTCGCTACCAGGAACCCTTCGCCTGTCTACGGGCGAGGCCTCGCCGATCCCAGGTCGATATTCCCGCCCTGAGACGGTCCCCGCGTCTCGCTGGGGCCTGAAAATCGGCGCCAACACCGAAGCAGGGGGGGAAGAAGATCTTGGATCCTGATGCTGGCTGTTTTTTCTCGGCCACCACTGCCATCATCGAGTCTGGGATGATCTCCCCTCGGTGCAGGCAACCGCCGATACCGGTGTTACTGCAAACCTCCCTAGGCCTCCGAACATCTCGTTCCGCCTCAGGCCTGGGCCTGCAGTTCGGGCCGCGGGCCGCGCCGGATCGGGCACGACGCCCCGGCGGCGAGCCAGGAACCTGCACCTCAACCTCGACCGGCGCACGGGCTTCGTGAAGGGCTACGCCTTCATCGAGTACGAGACCAAGCAGGAGGCCGAGGCCACCCGATGCCTGCGCCCGGCGCCCCCCAGGAGTGCTTCGGAAGTGGTGTCCTGGGTGGCCAAGAGGGAGATGATGACTGGGAGAAGGTGGGTGGATATCATGGCCAGGGCCATGACATCTGTCCCGATGTCATGCCCACCCCTCTTCTTCCAGCACGTCCCTTGGTCCTCCCCTCGTCCGCGCACGTGTCCCCTCGTCCGCTAGGCAGCCCAGAAGGAAGAGACTGACGGAACTGGTGGTGTCGCAAGCGCGAAGCGCATCTTCGTCAACGTGAAGGGGCCGAACGGTTACTCACAGTCCTTGGGCGCGTGGCAGAAATGGGGTTCCGCGGTGTGAATTGTTGTTGTCGTTGTTGTTGGTGTTGTTGTTGTTGATGTTGATGTTGTTGTTGGTGGTGGTGGTGTTGTTGGTGTTGTTGTTGGTATTGTTGTTGTTGCTGTTGCTGCTGTTGTTATTGTCGTTGGCGTTGTCGTTGTCGTTGTCGGTTGTTGTATATTTATATTTCGAGAAAACTTGTTATTGATCTCCAGAAGCAGTTCCGCGCGCTCTCGCCTCGACGCCAGCAACATTCTCTCTGAAAACGAGGCTCCCGCTCGAGCGTTGACTTGAGTAACTTGGAGGCCCAGCTACGACGACAACGGCTCCCGCTCGATACTTCCTCACAAGTTACCCCAAGTCACCCTGGCCGAAGAGGCCCCCGAACTCAGCAACGGCGCTCTCGCTCCAGAGTCCCTCGCAATTCAATCAAGTTGGCCGAGGCCTAGCTACGACGACAAGGGCTTCTTCTCGATACTTCCTCACGGTTTACTCCGAGAGCCCCTGGCCAGAAAGGCCCCCGAACTCATGAACGCCGTTCTCGCTCGAGACGTTCTCGCGATTCAGTCAAATTGGTGGAGGCCCAGCTACGACGACAAGGGCTTTCGTTCGATATTCCCTCAGGATGTATTCGCAAAAGGCCCTTGCCAGAGAGGCCCCCGAACAAAAGAGTGGCGCTCTCGCTCGAGACTTTCTCGTAATTCAGGCAAGTTGGTGGAGGCCCAGACACGGCGACAAGGGTTCCCGTTCGATATTTCTCCATATGTATTCCGAGAGCCCCTGGCCAGAGAGGCCCCCGAACTCAGGAACGGCGCTCTCGCTTGAGAGTTCCTCGCACTTCAGCCAGTGGCCGACAAGGAAGATATTCCCCCCGAAAGGGGGTGCAATCGAAGACGAAGTGTGCGGGTATCGAGGGTTGGGGCATACAGAATGCAAGGCACGCGTACCAGTAAGATTTAAACATCTTTAAATGATTGTTGTTGGTGGTGTTGTTGATGTTGCTGTTGTTGTTGCTGTTGCTGCTGTTGCTGTTGTTGCTGTTGTTGCTGCGGCTGCTGTTGTTATTGTTGCTGTTGCTGTTGTTGCTGCTGTTGCTGATGTTGTTGTTGTTGTTGCTGCTGCTGTTGTTGCTGTTGGTGTTGGTGTTGTGGGTGTTTGTGTTGGTGTTGGTGTTGTTGCTGCTGTTGCTGATGATGTTGCTGTTGGTGGTGTTGTTGTTGTTGGTGTTGTTGGTGTTGTTGGTGTTGTTGTTCTTGTTGCTGGTCTTGTTGTTGGTGTTGTTGCTGTTGTTGAACTCCCACTATTGAAGAATAATGATTGTTGATCCCCCCCTCCGGTAACATTTGTTTTTTCATTTGAAATGTCCTTCCCGGGGTTCGCACCTTGTTTTTTGGTAGGGAAAGTCGTCCTTGGCAAACTGCGCCCCTGGCCCCCGAACTACAACAACAACGGCTCCCGCCGGATACTTCCTCATAATGTATTCCCAAATCGCGATCTCGCGCTGGACTTCCTCGCAATTTACTCAGGAGTCGCCTCTCGCGTGGGACGCCCTCGCAATTTATTCAGACGCCGCGCCCTTGACATTCAGGAGTCACGCTCTCGCTGTGAATTTCCTCACGACTGATTTGGGAATCGAGTTGTCGCTCGAGACTTCCTCGCTATTCATGCAGGACGCACGCTTCAGCAACCCGCCTGCTCGACCTGGCCACTTGGGCCCTCCTTCCCGACCCTGCTGGTGGTCTGCCGGCCCGATCTGCCCGTCTGGTTTTGCCACGTGTTTCCTGCTCCTAGCCCCCCTCCTGGTCTCTCTCGTACTCCATCCTCCTTCCTCCCTCTTGTCCCTTCCTTCCATCCGTCCTCTCTTCCCCTGCATCAGGGGCTGCACGAAATACACGTTGCAGGTAAGAAAGATATAGTTACCCCCAAGGGCTTCGGTCGAAGACGAAGAGGGCGGGTATCGAGGGTTCGGGATATACGTGTTGAATGGCACGCGAGCAGGGAAGAGCGAACACTCTAACAATGATTGTCGTTGTTGGTGTTGGTGGTGGTGGTGTTGTTGTTGCTGCTGTTGTTGTTGTTGGCGTTGTTGTTGTTGGTGGTGATGTTGCTGCTGCTGCTGTTGCTGTTGTTGGTGGTGGTGGTGTTGGTGTTGTTGTTGCTACTGCTGTTGGTGGTTTTGGTGGTGGTGGTGGTGGTGTGGTGGTGGTGTTGTTGTTGCTGTTGTTGTTGGTTGTGGTGTTGTTTTTGGTGCTGCTGTTGGTGATGTTGGTGGTGGTGGTGGTGATGTGGTTGTTGTGGTTGTTGTGGTTGTTGTTGTCGTTGTTGTTGTTGTTGTTGTTGTCGCTGCTGTTGTTGATGCTGTTGGTGTTGTTGCTGATGGCGTTGTCGCTGTTGTTGCCGAACTCTCATTACTGTCGAATCATTATTGTTGAGCCCCCCTCCAGTGGCCAGTCTGTTTTTCAGTTGAAGTGCTTCCCCTGGGGCTCGAACCCTGCTTTTTATGAGGGAAAGTCACCAGGCTCAAACTGGGCCCCTGGCCCCCGGTTTACGACAACAGCGGCTCCCGTCTGATACTTCCTCACAAGATATTCCCAAATCGCGCTCTCGCGCGGGACTTCCGCACAACTCATGTACACATCGCGCTCTCGCGTCGGACTTCCTCTCAATGTATTCAGACGATGCGCCCTCGGCGCTCAGGAATCACGCTCTCGCGCTTGATTTTCGCACGATGTGCTTGGGAATCGCGCTATCGATCGAGACTTCCTCGCAATTCGTGTGGGACCCACGCTTCAGCAACCCGCCTGCTCGACCTCGTCGCCTGGGCCCGCCTTCCCGACCTGCCCGCTAACTATGGGTTTGCCCACCCGATCTGCCCGTCTGGTTCTACCACTTGTTTTCTTGATCCTTGCCCCCCTCCTGCTAATTTCTCTCGTGCTCCATTCTTCTCCCTCCCCCTTCCACCCGTCCTCTCTTCCCTTGTTTTAGGGGCTGCACTAAATGCACGTGGCAGGTAAGGAAGATACACCCCCAAGGGGGTACGATCGAACGACGAGGGCGGGTACCGAGGGTTTGGGATATACGTATTGATTGGCACGTGAGAAGGAGCGAACAGTCTTAAAATGATTAGTGTTGTTGGTGTTGTTGATGCTGCTGTTGCTGTTGCTGTTGGTGGTGGTGGTTTTGTTGTTGTTGGTATTGTTATTGTTGCTGCTTCGGTTGGTGTTGGTGTTTGTGTTGGTGCTGGTGGTGGTGTTGGTGGTGGTGGACATTGCACTTAGACACCCGCCCCCCCCCAAACAACCAACAACCCCAGCAACCCCCCAGGGGGTTTGCTGCGGTTGCTGTTTGCTGGTATCCCTGAGGATTCATGTGGGGTTCCTGACGGGGTACTGAGGGATTCCTGAGCTGATTCGCCAACCCCCCTGTGCGTCATCCTCTCCCCCCTCCACCCGCCCCGAGTGTCGGAGCTGTGGTGTGTCCTGGAGCCTTCTGGCAGGGGATGCATTGGACGGGCAGGAAGTAATGTCCCACATTCCTAGCATTCCTAATATTCTGAACATGTCCTAGAATTTCCTGGATTTCCTAAAAAGCCTCATTCCGAACATCCCAAGACTCCAAGGATTTCCTAACCTAGTGTTCCGCACAGGCTCCAGAAGCGAGGGCAGCCAGGAACTCAGGAACTCCTGGAGCGCACCTTGAGGTAATCCCATCATGGCATCGGTACGGTCCTGGTGTTGGTGTTTTCTGGGGTGAGCCTTGATACATCATCGTCGGAACCATCTCCACCTCCACTGGGGCAAGGTAAGTTCGCTCTCCCAGCGTACCCCCTCCAGGTGGGGATGGGCGTTCCGAAACCCGAAGGAGATGGTGCCCATCCCCACCTCAAGAGGGGTAGATTGCCCTGCGGGGCAAAGGCTTCTCCGGTGGGGGATGGGGATTATTGGAGAGGCCTTACGGCCAATGCCGCCGACCTTGGACGACGACGACGACGACGACGACGACGACGACGACGACGACGACGGTGACGACGGTGACGACGGTGACGACGACGACGACGACGACGACGACGACGACGACGACGACGACGACGACGACGACGACGACGACGACGACGACGACGACGACGACGACGACGACGACGGCGACGACGACGACGACGACGACGACGACGACGTGGGGATGGGGACTGATTCCCTCGTCAAGATTGAAGGCAGGTCTCGGGCCGCCTTTTTGTTGGCCGTCGCGGGGGCAGCTTTGGTCAGTAGTCTCGGAGGGGTCTGGGGCCGTCCCGAGGCCTTCTTTGCGGGGCCTCCTGCGGGAGCTCGTGGGCCGACTGGGCGCCGCCTGGGGCGGCCAGGACGGGTGACCCGGGGCAGTCTTCTCGCACCGTCAGGACAGCAGGTGGAACACTCGGGCTGATGGCGACGAGAAGGAATACACGCGGGGAGGTCGAGGATTGCAGGGAAGTGGCCCTCACTGCTCTACACTGCACAGCCATACGCCGTCGGGCTCGTGGGCGGGGAAACGACAAGTTCAGCGCAGCCTGTACTGCCAGGAGGAGGGAGGAGGAGCAAGGGCCCCGAACTGCCACCGCGGGCCCCGAACCTGCCACCGCGGGCCCGAGAGGTGTACGAGAGGTGCCCGTTTCTTCCCCCGTGCGCCATAGGGAGCTCCACCGAAGGCCTCAGCGGCAGGGTCCACATGGCTTGCTCGCGCCCGATTCGGCACCCCCCTCATACGCTTCGTGGCCCCATACGGAGCTCCACTGAAGGCCCCAGCGGCAGGGTCCGCATGGCGTACCCGCATCGGATTCGGCACACCCCTCACACGTTGTGTGGCCCTTTAGGGAGCTCCACATTTCGGCTCAAGGGATCGCACGGCCGCGTCTCCTTCCTCTCCTTGCGGGACCGCGGGATGGCGTTGCCTGGAGGGGCTCGCGCGGCGCCTGTGGACCTGGCGGCCCTCGTGGCTGCGGCGGTCCGAGGAGCCGTGGACGGCGGCGCGCCGCGCCGCACTGTCGCCGCTGTGGCACGTTCCGCCGTGTCGGCCGCCGCCTTCGCGGCGCGGCCGACTCCGCGGCAGCCTGCCGATGCGGGCGACGGGGTGCGCCCTGGGGTGCCTGCCGACGCTGCTCCTTGCGTTTCCTCGGGGGCGCTGCGTGAGCGGCGGCGCAGGCGCCGTCAGAGGCGTGCAGGGCGGCGCGCACTGGAGCGAGGGGAAGCTGCGGCGATGGAGGATGCAGAGGTGGCGGGTGTCCTGCCGCCAGCTGCGCCCCCCGTTGCCGATGGACTTCCGACAGGCCGCGCCGAGGAGGCGCAGGCCGAGTCCTGCTGGGGCGCGTGTTGCTGCGGGAGGCCCTGCTGGAGTAGGCGGCGTGCCGCCTGCGGAGGCTGGAGCTGAACGCGGCGACGGCGGCGGTGCAGCGGCGGCAGTGCCTGCCCGCGGGCAAGCCCCGAGGGGGGGCGCCGAGAAGGGCGAAGGGAGCAATGGTTTCGCTTCTGTCGCCGACCCACATCGAACCCCGGCCCCTGCACCTCCACCCCCGCGCCGCGATGCGCCTTCCGCGGGCGCGGCGTCGCCCGGCGGCCCCGCCCATGATGCTGGCTGAACTGGAGGCGGCGTCGCCGCCCAGCCTGCCCCAACTGCATCAGGCGCGCGGAGGCCGACGACGCCTCCGAGGCGGAGGCCGCGGGAGGAGTCGACATCGAGCGCTGCTGCGCACTCGCATCCAGGGCGCAGCCGCAGCGCCGCGCGCCAGCGCCGCGCGCGCATGGCGGCGCGGGAACATCGAACATCACCAGAACGACACGTGCCGCTACGGGTCTTACTATTCAAGCAAACGAATTTACACCGACGACCACGATTGCGAGTACATTTGGATCGACCAGAATAGCACGCGCACGATTTGATGGTTCGATGATCGTGGTAGTCGCGTCTGGGGTGACATCGTCGACTTGGATACCATGATTACGTTTTCCGTAGCATTGATATTGTATATGTTCTGAGCTATTGCTGCATGGGTAATTCTGATTGTTTTATGTACATATTCGTTTTCATTGACATTGGTGCTGTACCTCTATGGAGATTTCTTTTGCATTCCATATCACTGTTTTCACTTCACATGTCCACGGACATGACGTCATTTACTCATTTACTACCATTGGGCACTCGGGACACGAACGCGCCCAGACAGGTCGCCCGCCAACAATTTTATCGAATGAAATCGCACATGCTCTTCCAGGGAAAGCCGACTGAGCACGACCCGCGCATGGCATTATCCCGGTGGCTTTTATTTTAATGTTGATATAATTTGTCGCGGACAGGTTGGCAATCATCGTGTGTATATTTTGAGGCCTGGAGCGCCTCGCGCCTCGCGGTGCGCACGTTACGACATCTAGTTGATCAGTTGTCATTGCAACGTCGATCTTAATACCCCATGACTTTGGGTCTGGAGAGCCCCGATAATATTTTTGGGCCAGGAGAGCCCCGTGACCGAGAGATTTCTTTTATTGTGATCGAATTGCCCTCGCAACTTTGATCCATCGTATTTCGATTTACGTAACTTTGATCCATCGCATGTCACTGTGCGCCGGCGGAACCACCTGCATCCTAAAAGCAACGTTGTTTTCTGTTTGCTCTTCTTTCTCTTGCCTGCCCCCTCCCCCCCAGCCTCGTCACCCGTGGCGGCCGGAAGTCGTCCTGGAGTGCCGGGTGGTTTTTTGGGGGGGCGCACCCTGGGCCCGTTAAAGGGGGGTAGACTCCTATGTGCCCCGCGTTGCGGGGTTGGTTTCCCTCATTCCAAGCCGATGCGACCTTGTTTGGATGTGCGGTTGATATGGCGGTGTTTCGAGTGGACCTCGCACCCCTGTTCCCGAGCACCGCTGTTGTTTCCCGCGGGCCAGAGACCGGCGCGGAGCAAGCGGGATTCGGGGCGGTGCGTGCGTGTGTGAAGTCCGCTCATATCACCACTATATCACTACATACCGCTAACGTATCGGCTCAAGGCACTGTTGCACACACCGCGCTGCTTTCCGCGCAGCGCCCTGGAAAAGGAATAGCTAACCTTTTCCTCGCCCACCTCTACCGACGGATAGTCGTATAGGCTCGACTCCTTGGTCGTTGCCCTATACGCACACCTTTGGAGGCATATGGGGTCTCCTTGAATCTATGTGGGGCCCCGTTGGGTTGCTGTGGACTCATTAAAGCACGGGCCGATGTTTGCTTCTGGAGGGCCTCTTGGGCCGCGTCCTGGTGGCGCGCAGGGGCGCGCAAGAGGTCTCAGGGGCCGCGCGAAAGGCCAGGAGGCGAACGCGTTGGAAATATGTGATTTCCATCGAGGGTGTGACGGTCGTTCCGTCTGGGAGGCTTTTTGGGGCGCCTTTGGGTAGCGTTTTGAGGCGTCCTGGGGGCCTGTAGGGCTGTCGGGGGGCCATGTTGGACGACTTGGTGCATTTTTGGAAGACTTGGGCCAACCAGGAGGCGTTTTAACGGCCCTCTTGGGCCGCCTTGGGGCCTTCTTGGGACCGTCCTGCGGCTCTCCCGGGCCGTTGCTATGGTTTCTGGGGTCTTCGTGATGCGCCCGGAAGCCGTTTTGGAACCTTCTTCAACGCCTCTGGGGCTGTAGGGGGTCGATGTTGGATGTTTTGGGGGGCCGCTCTCGGCCTCGTAAAGAAGTCCAGGGGGCGAATGTGCCAACAGAGAACGGGACGATTTGTGTTTGGGGAGGCCTTCGCGGAGCGCCTCGTAGTAGTTTTGTTCAAGCGCTTCGGGAGCCTATGGGGAATCGTCTGCAGGCAAGCTGGGGCGGTTTGGACCGAATCGTCCCCCTCGTGGGCCGTCCAAAAGGCTTTTGGGGACCTTTTTGGCCCGTTGTTGGGCTCTCGTGTGACCGTCCTGCGACTGTTTTGGGCCGTTGCTGCGGTTTCTGAGGCTTTCGTGGTGCGCACAGAAACCGCCGAGGAGCCTTTTTGAAAGCTTTGGTGGGTGTCGGGGGTCGAACGCCAAGAGGCGTAGGTATTGCAAATGTATGTTTTCCCTCGGGAGTGAGACGATTTTTGCTTTTGAAGGCCCTCGTGGAACGCCTCCTGGGCGCGTTTTCAAACGTCTTGGGGGTTTATGGGGCCGTCTGGAGGCAATCTTGTGCGGTTTGGACCGAATCGTCCCCCGCGTGGGTCGTCTGGGCAGCCGTTGAGGACCCTGTTGGCCCGTTTTGAAGCCTTGTTGGGACCGTCCTGGGCTGTTATTATGGTTTCTGGAGCCTTTTTGGATCGTCTGGAAACTGTCGTGGAGCCTTTTTGGGTGTTTCTTGGGTTGCGGAGGGTCGATTTGGGAGGCTCTTTGGGCCGTTGTGGGCCGCGTGGAAGCCCAAAAGACGAATGTGCTGAAAATGTACGTTTTCCCGTGGGAATGGGACGATTTTCGCTTCTGAAGGGCCTTCGCGGGGCGCCTCGTAGTATTTGTTCGCGTCTTGGGGACTGACGGGGCTGTTTGGAGGCCATCTTCGGCGTTTTGGAACGATCTTTCGGCGACCCATAGCTCTCTTGGACCGTTCCGGGACCCTTTTGAACCTTTTTGGCCCGTTCTGGGGCCTCCTGAGGCTCCAAGTGTGCACCCGACATCTTTGCTTACCCCCCACCCCCCACCCACCCCCTTCTGAACCGGCCGGACCAGGCCCCTGGAGGAGAGGTTTGGGGAGGGGGGAGCATCTCACACGCCGTGACCCCAAGGGGTCGGCGGATTACCCGTCCGATCTGGGCGCGTTCTGTGAGCTTTTCCGGGGACCTCCTGGCGGCCTGGACGCTTCGAACCGCCCCGCCCCACGAAATGCAATACCGTCCATTGGGATGCGACGCAAAGAACAGTTGAGACCTAACATGACGAGGGTCTCTTCGGACACATCTCGTGGGGAGTTCGCAAGGCGCGATACCTGATAAAAAGCAGATGGGGCTTGGCGCACGCCTACCATTGCAAACGCGGTGACAGATGTTTAATCAAGGTAGAGTATGCAAGTTGGATTTGACAAGGTAGATATAGCTGGAGAGAGAGAGAGAGAGTGAGATCAACAAAAGAGCGTGTGAGGGAAGGAGAGGGAGATGTCCACCTCCATACAACACGCTGTTCGGTCTTTCAGTCGGTGAAGCTTTGGTGATACTAAACTTTGATATGTTGCAATGCAGATCGCATGACTCTTGCCATGATAGCTTCGCGGGATTGGCGTCGAGGCTGCGATCAAGGGCATGGACAGCCAGGCAGGCTTGGGTGCCTCGCCATCTTGTGATCGGTTCGTCATGCTCCTTCGCGACATCACGACTTCCCCCTTGAGTCAATCCCATGAGTCGGCTGGCGACGCGCGAAGAGTGACGGATGATTTGGGGAGCGCGTAATGGGGGTGCGATACATGGGGGGGGGGGAGCGAGGGCCGCAGAAAAGGGGCCTTTTAGGGCCCGCCTCGAGGGCCCGAGGAGGGCACCTTCCTACCCCCCCCCCCATGTTTCGCCCCCGATTCCTTCGCGCCCGGATGGTGAGGACGTCGGAGGGGGGTTGCTTGAAGCTGATCCTGGTCGGCATCCCCTCGCCGGCCCACGTACAGATGTGCCTCGCCTCAGTTCTGATCGTGTCTTCCTGCTGTCATTCCGAGGCGAACCCTAAAGGATGGGTGACCCGCAGGGATCCGACATAGGCTCACATGTTGGAGGAGGAGGAGCAGGAGTAGGACCAGCGTAAACCCGAGAGTCATCAACGATGTTGGAATCAACCCTCCCTCCAAGATCCCTCTTCATAGGCCCCTACAACTTCCTCTGAGGGAACTGCCCCGTTGGAAGACAGCCCTTTGAAGAGCCTGAAGCGTGCCAAAACATTATGCCCAGGACTCCAGCGGTACGGATCAACCGGACTGTTGAATATTGACAATCCTGAATCGTGCCAGAACGCCATTCCTGGGATTTCAACACCGCGAATCAACGTAACTGTCGCACCCTCATAATCCTGAATCTTTCCCGCGGCCCCAAGGCGAGAGCCACATGTTGAAAACGACCCGCCCTCCATCCGTGAAACTGTTGTAAATATTTACAACGAGCGTGAGCGGCGCCAAGGCGAAAGCCACAATTTGAAAGCGACCCGCCCTCCATCTGTGAAATGGTTGCCAATTTTGAAGCTTCAGGATCATACATGGTGAGGAAATCTCAGGCGAACCGCCCAGCCCGCCCTTTCGACCGGCCTCGGGGTGCGACAGGGAGAAGTTATGTATAAGGAGCAGGAATGGAGGGGGGGGGGAGTAGGAGGAGGCGCAGGAGGAGGAGGAGGAGGAGGAGGAGGATTAAGAAGAGGAGGGAATCGCAAGGAGAATCGAGGAGGAGGAGGAGGACGAGCAGGAGGAGGAGGAGGAGGCAGGAGTGGGGCCAGCGGTGGTCAGGGTCGGCGGCGCGGCCGCGCGACAGACTGCGCCTGCGCTGCGAGGAGGAGGAAGAGCGGCAGGAGGAGGGGGGTGAGAGGAGCGGGAGCAGAATGGGAGTGGGAAGGTAAGAAAGGGAAGGAGGAGTCGGGGGGGGGAGAGGAAGGGGAGGGGAGGAATACTACGAGCAGCAAGAGGACGATGAAGGAGAGAAGGGAGAGGAATAGGATGACGGAGACTTCTGAGACGAAAATTTGGAAGGGGATGTTGATGATGAGGATAACGGTGATGATGACGATGATGGTTATGACGATGTTGCTGATGATGATGGTGATGATTATGCTGCTGCTGATGATGATGCTGAGTATGACGATGATGATGATGATGATGATGATGATGATGATGATGATGATGATGATCATGATGATGATGATGATGATGCTGATGATGATGATGACTATGATGATGACGGTGATGGTGATGATGATGATGACGCTGATGATGAAACTGACGATGATGAATATGATGATGCTGATGATGATGATAATGATGACGACGATGATGATGATGATGATGATGACGATGATGATTATGATGGCGATGATGATGGTGATGATGATAACGGTAATGATGATGAGAAGGAAGAGGCGGGCGATTCTGATGATGTTGATAATGATGAACATGAATAAGATGATTCTGATGATGCGAATGATGTTGATTATGATGATGATGCGGATGGTGCTGCTGCTGATGAGGAGGAGAAGGAGGAGCAAGAGGAAGAGGAGGAAAACCAGAGTGAACCAAGCATGTACCAATGATGCTGCGATACACCCTCCCGTCCCAAGTCCCTCAATAATCCCTACACGTGTTCTTGTTCGTTGTGCGAAGCGCTTCATGTGATAGAAGAGCGCCCAGCGGGCCCGCAATTCAGGCGGGAGCTCCGTTCTGAAAGACTTGGTCATCCATTCGCCGAGAGGGATAAGGAATGCTACAAGGCTGGGTCACACAGTTTCACATCTCCCCGCCCTTACAAGAATACAGATACCGTCTACAAACCACAGTTTCGTTTTTCCCCACGTCCAAAGTGGGGTTCTTGTTTTCTCTGGACACCCCGCGCAAAAACAGATGGAAGGATCCCCCCTTTCTTCTCACTCACACACTGACACACTCACGTCATTATCGCCGCACCATCATCACTGACACACTCGCACACACTCTCGTTCTCCAACTCACCCACTCACTCACAACTACTACTCAGCACTCATCATCATCATCATCATCATCATCATCATCATCATCATCATCATCAGCATCAGCATCAGCATCAGCATCAGCATCATCACCATCATAATCAGTATCATCATCATCATCATCATCATTAGCAGCAGCAGCAGCAGCAGCATCCTTATCATTATCAAAACACAATCGTCAACAGAGCCTCGTCTGTGTGTGAAGTGCGAGGAAGTCTCAGGCGGGAGCCCCCTCCCTGAGGGGCCCGCCGCTCATGTTTTTGAATCCGAGCGGGTCATCGGGATCCTTGTTTGTCGTCGTGTTTGGGCCCTTGAGGCCTGGATATGGATCACCAGGCGGGAGCATCGTCTGCGAGTGAAATGCGAGGAAGTCTCAGTCGGGAGCCCCCTCCTTGTGAGGCCCGCCGCTCATGCTTTTAATCCGAGCGGGTCATCGGGATCCTGTAATTGCCATCACTTTGAGGCCCCTGAGGCGTAGATATGCAGGAAGCATCAAGCGGGAGCATCGTCTGGGAGTGAATTGCGAGGAGGTCTCAAGCGGGAGCCGCCTCGGGCCCGTCGCTCATGTTTTTAATCCGAGCTGGTCACCGGGATCCTATAATTGCCGTCACTTTGAGGCCCCTGAGGCCTAGAGGTGCAGGAAAAAGTATCGGGAGCCCCCTCCCTATGGGGCCCGCAGCTCATGTGAGTAATCCGAGCGGATCGTCCTCAAACCTGTAACTGTCTTCATGTTTGGATTCCTCAGGCGTGAAGCTGTGGGAAGTATCAGGCGGGAGTCTCGTTTGGGAGTGAATGGCGAGGAAGTCTCAGGCGGGAACCCGATCCTTAGGGGGCCCGCACTTCAGATTGGTAATCCGAGCGGGTCATCGTAAACCTTGTAGCTGTCTGCATTTTCGGGCCTTACAGGCTTGAGTACTAGGGAAGTATAAGGCGGGAGCTTCTTTTGTGAATGATTCGCGCCAGCGGCTTGCGGGGTTGTCTCGACGGCCTGGCCCGCGGGGCTGTCCCCCACGGCTGCGCGATTTCGCCGTCGGAGAACGCGCCCCTGCCAGGCGTGGCGGCGAGGGCGCCGAAGAAAATCTACGCGCGCGCCCTTGCTAGGAGGAGGGAGACGTGCAGGAGGATAACGAGCGGGGCGGCGGCGATGAGGAGGGGGAGAGGAGGAGGAGGAGGAGGAGGAGGAGGAGGAGGAGGAGGAGGAGGAGGCGGAGGAGGGCAAGGCAAAGGCCGAGGAGGAGGAGGAACATGAGGAGGAGAGGGAGGAAGCGGATGAGGCGGAGGAGGAGGAGGCGGAACAGGAAGAAGATGAGAAATGCAAAGGGTAGGACGAAAAGGAACAGGAGGAGGAGAAGGAGGAGGAGGAGGAGGACGGAGAGGGCGCCAGACGAATAAAACGGCGAGGGGCAAGCTAAATCAATTCTCGCGCGGGGTCGTACCGTCAGAGCAATTATGTTAGATCGTATGTTAGTGAACACCTTTTTGCCCACAAATCCTATCACACGCGCTCGCTACACGGCTGTTCCTTTTCACGTACCCGCGGTGGCCGCGTCGTGCGTTTATAATCGCCGGGATTTAAACGTACGGCTTGGAGGATGTAGGGGGCGCTTGTTGGGGTAGAACCGACAAAAACACCAGAGCGACCAGACAGTCTGCAAACATGGCTGCACTTCGGCTGCACACAAACTTGTGACTACAAAAAAATGGTGTAGCCACCTGGAGGTTCCACGTGTGTGATTGTCAATGTCGTACATTCTCATGACCTGGATCGGGGCTACAAGAATCAACGGCGGCTACCAAAAACCCTGGGCGGCTACAAACCGTCAGCGTTCCACTAAGTGTGGGACATTTCGTTTGTTTTTTTTTGTGCGTGCTCCTTATCGTGGATGCTTGCAGACTGCGGTTGTTCGGCGCGCCGCCTTCCCCCTTACCCCCCGTTCCCTGTCCGCCCGCGCGACCACTGCGTGGTTATATTCGCGCAAGAGACGCGAGTTCTCTATCAGTCGCATCGTGCATTTTGCAACGCAATCTGCGGGTCAAACTTTGTTCATGTGTGTGTGTGTGTGTGTGTTTGTGTGTGTGTGTATGTGCGTGCGTGCGTGCGTGCGTGCGTGCGTGCGTGCGTGCGTGCGTGCGTGCGTGCGTGCGTGTGCGTGCGTGTGTGTGTGTGTGTGTGTGTGTGTGTGCGCGCGCGCGCGCGTGCGTGCGTGCGTGCGTGCGTGCGTGCGTGCGTGCGTGCGTGCGTGCGTGCGTGCGTGCGTGCGTGCGTGCGTGCGTGCGTGCGTGCGTGCGCGCGTGTGTGGTCAGGGCGTGGTGTTCCTTCGCATACTTTTGGGTTGGTGGCAGTGTGTTGCAGGAGTATGTTTGTTCAAGGACCCCCCAGCGACAGCTTCGCTTTGAAAAGAGGTCGCCATTCTTCCGGGTAGCAGTCTGGCAACGTTGTTGGATTTGCGGTTGGAATAATTGAACGAAGTTTACAGCAATAATCTCATGGAAAGAATCGCCCTCCATCCGTGTCAATGCTAAGTAATGTACGACTCGTGGTAACATAAAGGAAGAAGTCTACAGCCAAAACCCAACTTCGAACAGGAACCACCATCCATCCGAGTAA